TTCATTTACGTTCACAACATTGGCGACGAGGAAGAGTGGAAGAATTAGGAACTGGAAGAAACGCGGAGGCTGAGACTACTACGGGATGGCCGGCGATGATGGCCCTGGGCCCCAGGCACAAGTTCGGCATGAACAGCATACCAAGAACCTGCCTGAGTTTAAGGTTAGTGACCCGACCCGATGGTCGCGTTACCTCCAGTTATTTAACATTGCCTACAAGGCAGAGAAGAGACCCGTCGACCCGGACGGCAAGCGCGCGGCGTTCCTCATCGTGTGTGGTTTGGACACACTCGAGCTGGCGGCGCGGCTCTGCGCCCCAAGGGAGTTAGAAGATGTGCCCTTAGAGGGGAAAGACAGCATCGTGAGTAAGCTTACGGAATATTTCTCCCCAACCGTGAGCCCTGTCACGGCCTATGTTCGGTTCTGGCATACGCGTCAGAAGGCTGGTCAACCTGTGGCTGACTTCGCCGCCGAGCTCCGTCAACAAGCGAAGCATTGTGCGTTCGACAAGCTGAAGCAGGAGGAGATTATGGACACATTAGTTTTGTATCAGTTGGTGTGTGGTCTCCGGGATTCTAACTTGCAGCAGCGGCTTTTGGAAAAGCCAAAGTTGACCCTGAATACGGCTCTCGAAACGGCGTCGTCTGCAGAGACAGCGTGTAATGATATCGGCGTGGTGCGAAATGGCAACTCAGGCAGCAACACTAATGACTTTCTGTCAGCAGGAGGTGCGAGTTCAGGAGGCCAGGTGGGAGCATTCGCATTGCAGGCGAGCCGAAACCAGAGTTATGGTACCCAGCAGCAGACGACCAAGTTCAAGTGCTTCCGCTGTGCTGGGTCTCACAAAGCTAACCAGTGCAACCTGGACCCTGCCGTGCTTTTCTGTATGGGATGTTCAAGGACTGGGCACCTGAAAACCGCCTGCCTGGCTAATCAAGGTCGCAGGGGTAATGATGCCAGTGCCACGGGAAGTTCTTCGAAGTCTGCGACAGAAGCTTACATGCTAGATGCTACAGCTCCAACGTTTACACCCAGTGGTACTACTTCAATTCCTTTCAACGGGCCTCTTGGGTGTGACTTGTACTAGTGTGTAAGGTGTCAAAGATCATTGGTGATATAATTTTGTGTTCTACGTTTTAATTCGATTTGTTTTCAAGTACGATTTTATTGCTTCTTCAATTGTTTACGATCAACTTTCAATTACAATTTAATC